GCAGTGCAGGGAATTTTTCTTTCCACAAAAGTAAATCAAATTTTCTTGCTTTCATTTAATCACTTTGATAAATCTGACATTATCATTATAACTCTTCTGTAAGGTCGTGACCCCTGCCTAATCAACCCATGTCATAATAATGGGACATGCATTAATCTGGGAAATAGCCAAAAATGTCAGTGTCTCGATGGGTTTGAAGGACGATACTGTCAGACAGGTAAGAAATAAGTTGGTTAAAATAAATTTTATATGAAGATTTACAGAAAATTGCTGAATTTAAACCCATATACTTTTATTTCCCTGGTATTTATCCCTAAATAAAAAAACTTTAAAGCTTTAAACAAATGATTTTGATTTTCTCAGTCTTTGAAGATACCCTGAAGTGCCTTTACCTAAACGGGCGCTGTGAGCAGTTCTGTGATGGCTCAGGATCTAGACGTCGATGTTACTGTGCTGATGGATACGTGCTGGGAGACGATGGACGACACTGTGTCCCCAATGGTAGAAATGTTGCAGGACTACCTCCATTAAGAGCTTCAGCTTCATTATTTTTACCCTGATCACGATGTGAAATCCTTTATTGAGCAGCCATCAAATCCTTTTATAATAGATACACTTGACTGATATGATCAAAACTATTCGACCCCAAACTTAATGTCTGTCAATTTAATCGTCTCATTTAAAGGTAGTCACATGATGTCTCATTACGGGAATGACTGATTGATTGCTTCTGAATTTCTTGGGGAAGACGTTAAGTTGATTATCAGTTACTTTACATCTCAGAGGATTAAGTAGTTGTGCGGTTGCATTTGTGTTACAGTGGAGTATCCATGTGGTCGGGTGGCTCCACCAGAAATTGGACAAAACCAGACTGCAGTGATTACTCCAAGGATGGTGGGGACTTACCACTGTCCCAAAGGAAACTGTCCTTGGCAGGTAAACACTGCTTTATATGAGTGATCAAACTGATTGTTTCATCATGGGTGTTTTCATTGCACCATTCACTCATGAGCTGCATGAGTTTACTTGATGCAATCAAGCCTACAGAGTCTTGCTAATGACCTACTAATTGTGTTCAGATGTGTTACAGTTGGGACATCGGCCCTCGAGG